ACCGAAAGCATTGCTGTAAATCTAAAGCAAACAGCCCGATCTGTGTGGGTTTTGATTTTACTCATCGAATGACGAAAGCTATGGAGTGTACACAGACGAATGCTAGTGGCATCTAAAGTGGATGTGTTGAACTACAAGTATGGCGAACTGCAAAGGGATCACATGAAAGGAGTCTCGGACCCCCAGCAGGTTCTTATCCGTAGAAATAATTCGTTTCAAATGTCCTTCTAAAAAGTCCACCGACGTACGAGGAATGTTACCCGGTAGCCTACAGGTTCTTCTCTGTGTCTTACGGATACTACGGCCGCTTCGCAGTAACACATGGGCTCATGTTGTTGATACAACCGCGTCGCTTACCGAGTTCAGAAAAAGACTGTGCTATGACATTTCTTGTTGTATGAATTATAATAAGCTGGAGACGTTGGTATGAGTGCTATGTAGGAGCTGTACTCCTAGCGCTTGCTATCTTGCGCTCTATCTTGATTTCCATATTGCCATACCGTGTGATGGCCGTTCACAGGGATTGATAGTCAGCTATCGTTGCACTCCGTCCCTAGAGTCCAGGACGTGAGGGAACCATACTCCATCTCTACCCGCGATCCTTTGTAGTCCGCCATCACGGAGCCGCGCCGGGCGACCGCGCGGCAGAGCGTGTCTGTGTTGCCCATTAGCAATGAGACAATGACGACTGGGAAAGAGTTTCAATAACGATTTTATTTCCATCCCTTTGATTGTTCACATCTGCAATCTGTTTCGCTCTTGCTGGTACTCTCCTGATGTAGGTAGCTATCCCAGTCGATTCGCAGTTTAGTTCTGCCGTCCTGAATAGTTCAACCAAAGATGCAGAAGATGATAGTAGAATGCAGTGTTGGCGTAGAACAGAACCGACAGGGTTTACTTCAGGTGCAGTCTGCTTGAGATAGACGGCTGCTCAGGCTTACTTTATAATAAATCGCGATCCGCATTTTGCTGTTTGTTGCAGTTCTGAGACGCACAGCGATCACTTCAGAATTTAGAAATCTAGCTACCGTTAGCTCATTGGTCGTATACCTGTTGTGAACTATAGTTTCGGCGATGCGGTGATGATAAGCAATCTGCGCATAATCCCAGATTTTTTTCTAGTCTGTTTCCGAGTGCGAACGTTACATGTAGCTTGTGAGATAGGACAGGATGTATTAAACATTTTTGTCGGCAAGACATTTCGGTATTACGGTGAAGTGGATGCGATTATACCTTGCGATTCACTTCGAGTGGTGCGCCAGTGTATTGATGGGAAAGAACTAAGGTTATCCTCAACCGGAGCCTGTTTCGCTTATCTGCCTCTTTTACACATCGAATATGGCGACGGCGGCTGATACGAGATGAGATTGGATTTAGATATGTTAGTCATGGTTTTCCGTGGGCTGGATCATTGTCATAGTTTTAGTTTCTTGACTCGACATTCGATCTAGAGCAGCAGGTCTTTTGAGCGAATTTGGACGTGATCATGACCAATCATACACAGAGAACGTCGCACAGGACGGCGCGATAATACCGCATCTGTCGTCCTTGTACCTTTTACTCTCTGAGATTCAACTGGATTAAAACCACTCGACTTTGTTTTATATTACACCTTGTTTATTTTTTTTGTGGCGAACTTCGGTTTTCTCTCTTTTTTCCACGAAAGAGGGACGATCTCTTTACGGGAATTGGAAAGTCGCAGCGTCAGAAAAAGGGGTCGTCCACGGATTGTAAAGGACGTTTTTTCTACCTATGGAGCGTGAAGTTGGCATCCCCATGCGCTGATTAGTGATGTGTTGAATCCATTGTGGTCTCTCACAGACACTCTAATTCCATTCATCGCTCTGAGTTTGCCTGACTGGGAGAGAAATGCGGATTATAGCAGTTGAAAAAAGTTCTCACTTGCACAAGATTGTCGATCTCGTTTTATTGCATACGGGGAACTGGCTTTCCCAGAGCTTGATCATTCCGATATTGCTAACCATAGGCGGTGAATGTCTCCTTCGCTATAGGTTGTCTTGAATGCCGGGTAATAAACACTGACCTCATGAGTACGGATGCCAAGGTCATCACTCTAGAACTGCATTCGTCACTGGCTGTGAGGCACGGCTCATCGACAAATCAGGC